CCAGCCGCTCCTCTCGCTGCTTGCAACAGCGCCCCGCAGCCGGGCGGGCAGCGAGTAAGCGAACGGGCGGAGCCGAGCCCAGCCCCGCACAAGCCCTCCCTCCAGCTCCCCGGGTCCTCAATCCCGCCTCTCTCGCCCGGGACAGGCAGGGGGCGGCGGTTGGGGCAGCAGTTTTCCCTGCACAGACCTGGCCGGGACACGGACAGAGAGATGGGCGAAGCGCGCCAGGGCCAAGCGAGCCCCACCTACCCTCTTCTTTCCTCTTTGCCAGAAACGCGTAGCCACGTGCTTCACTGGGATTTACCTCGCGCCGACTCTGCGCCGGATGGGTCTTCCTCAGCTCACGCGTGAACTCTTTTCCCGGTAATTTGGGGGGGGAGGCGGGGGAGTAACTCTCGGAGAATCGCACATACGTCAGGAAGTCCTATCCCACACGAAGGACCGGGCGACCGGATGCCTGAAACTGATGGCTCTGGACCTCTAGTTGCATGGTGGACTGTTGTAGCGGATCACCGACCACCGGTGGATATGGAAAAGCGGAGAGCGAGTTTTTCTGGGCAACTTTTTATGGCGCGTGCGGTGGGATCGGCAAACCTCGAGATTTCCTTAACTCTCCAGTGTGGCGAGCACGTTTTAAAGCGCCGGAATGCTTACCTGGGAGAGAAAGTGCCGGGGAGGTTTTTCTGCCCATCGTTTCGACCGCGGTTCACGATCGGAAGCAGAAAGAAACTTTTCGAACTGCTGGGTTGGTTTGAGGGGCATTTCATGTTTCTCCAAACCAGGATTAGCCTATCAGAAGAGGCGAGGAGGAATAGCTGTCTTGCTAGCGAACCTCGTAAATCTACTGGCCAGCCACTTCCTGCTGCTCGGCCCGGTGGAAACTCTGAGATTCCCCGCTTGACCCTGATGCCATCCTGATGGAGCACCGTCTGTCGGTTGGAAATCAGCTGGACTGAAATCGCGGTCCATTCTCAGCATAAAGGAATTTGGGTAGGTGAATCGGGTACTGGAATAAGGACTCGGGCTGAGCCTATTTCGTCCGGATTTGCGTAGCCCCAGCCTGTGCTCTACTCGCAGAAGCGATCTTTTTTTTTTTTTTCTTGTTGACCTTAGTGCGACGTGTTTCCAATAGGCAGGATGGCTGCCGTTCCAGAAAGGAAGAACTACGGCTGTCATTAAAGGGAGCATTGCTGTGAATTAGATGTGAATGTGTTGAAACTTTGGTGAGGACTTCAACGGGAACAAAATAAAGCATTTTGGGGAGCTGAGTTGGAAACTTCCCTCTTCCATCATCACCTGTATTATTATAGTGATGATTAAAAAGCTAACTAGTAATAGTAAAGGCACAATCATGGTCATGTGTAATTTCTGTGCCACTTTTCAATGTTGTCAGAATGTCTTTTTATTGCATATTGTCACAATTCTCCTTAGCTGAGAGAGCCACTTTTTCTAGCAAAATATCTTTGCTAGGTAATACTGCTACTAAACATTGTGCTTCTCAACCTGAATGTTATTGGCCATTTTTCCACTTCTGGTTTATAAAGTCTTCTAGCATTACCCAACCATCTTTCTGGCAATATAAAGTCTGTCTTCATTACTGATACAACAGCATTGCAATAACTGGATGATTCTATAAGATGCCATAAATCCTTAGTGAAGAAATTGTCATTTTGCAGTCACTGGATAGAGGAAGATTATTTATTAAGATTCTTATCTTCTTAAACGAACAAAGGTTTTGCACAACACATCCTCAGTTAACAGCATAGTGCTGTATAACCTCCTGCACAAATTCTTAAGAAATGGAGATACAGTGTTTCTGGATACCTCTTTGGTGAAGCCTGTGTAAAAGGTTGTTGGGGTTGATGGCATCCAAAAGTAATATGTGAAATGAAGCTTAATATTAATGTCTGGAGTTGATTATTAGTTCCTACCTCCCACCAGGACTGAAAAAAATAAATTTCATGCTTTTACTAATCTAGTAAATAATTTACATGGAACTCTCCACCTTTCTCCTAAATATTAAAAGAAGAAGCTTGCTTTATCCAGAATAATAAGTCAGAATTGTATTAAAGTGTGTAGTAGTTTCCTTCACAAATAAGAAATGGAAGGGTTATGCACTGGCAAGTATTTTAAAGTTATAAATTTGAATGAATAAATTGTCATTCATATTGCTTTGCTTATTTGTTTTTTTACATTATTTCTTATATTTGGATCTTAGCTTTAGCTATCTATGGTAGAGTTACCTAACACGTTTTTGCACTCACTGAATTCTCCAGTCTCTTTAAGTTAAATTAAATTAAATTAAATTAAACTTAACTTAAACTCTTTAAGTTAAATTAAATTTAATTTAATTTAAAAGCTGGCAGAAGGGGAGGAGTGATATGAAAGCCAAAACCTACATTTTCTAACCTTTTACAGGAAATTGTTTTAAATATATGTAGTCCCTGTGTCAGGGTTTTTGAAAAAGGGTGAGGCCCCCTTGCCTCACATGTCATCCCACTTTCTCCCTGTGTTTGTTCCTACTGCAGCCCTGATTTCTCTCTCTCCCCTCAGGTCATCATGCTTTCCCTATCTTCTGGCATCTTGGATGCCCCATTCTCTTTCTCTCCAGCTTCTGGACACTGGGACGTGCTGTCTATTTTTTCTTTTTAAATGCTTAATTGAATGTGTGCGCTATTTAATAAAAATCCTGCTGCCAAAGTTGGAGCCACATACGCCACCTTTGTTTAGCCAGAGTGCCTCTGAGCCTCAGCACACTACTGATGTTGCACTTGCTTTCTGCTGCTGTCTCCTCTGCCAGTTCTTGGAAATGTGCTGCAGAGCCCTGGCCCCATGCCCTGCTGTAGTAGCTGAATACACAAGTTCATCCGGTACTTCTTTCTTCAGACGTTACCTCTGGGTTTCATCAGATCTGCTCCTTCAGATGGATGCAGCCTGAAGTGGCACATCCACAATGTTGTGACAGTTCAGTTCCCTCTGATGATGGTTATATACTCTTAAGGGCTTTGGATTCTTTCTTCTTAATGAACTAAATAACTACATGATTCGTAGTTACTTATACGCCTATATCTCTGTGCTTATATTTGTCACATTTTTGATTGATTACACTTATCTACCATTTTTCAAGGAAGCTGCTCCTAAACACACACACACACACATATATATATATGTAGAAAAACTGGCAGATGGAGGGGCTGGCTGATTAGAACATCTTCCCTTCCAGCAGCCCTTTTGTTGATCTGTAGAATCATTATTGTAGAAATTGGCAACTCTCTGATTTGCCACCCAAATT